CAACCTAAAGCTTGTTTTCATATATGCCACAAGCTAAATATAGTTTCTACATTTTTAAAAGGTTAGGTAAAAATAGAGAACTGAAAGTATGAAAAACACAAAATTCAAAATAGTGGTTGTGTCTGAAGTGACCCAAGAAAGAGGCTTAAAGGAATTGGATTGTGGGTAAATGCATGGTCATTAATGCTACCTATATTGTAAACTCACACAACATTATTATCATTATTATTATATAGTTAATATTAATTTAGATTTCCCCATACATTTTTATTGTTTATGTTGCTTCTCTTTCTTTCATGTATTTTCTTAATTTTGTCTAGGATCAGTTTCCTTATTCTTTCTTTGTTTGAGAGAGAGGGAGCATGTTCGGGGGTGGGGGGGTGGAAAGAGAATCTGAAGCAGACTCCCTGCTGAGTGCAGAGCCTGATGCAGGGCTTAATCTCATGACCCTGAGATCTGACCTGAGCCACCCAGGCGCCCCCAAAGCAAATGTCTTTAAAAAAATAAAGAAGGAGGGCGCCTGGGTGGCTCAGTCGGTTAAGTATCTGTCTTCAGCTCAGGCCATAATCTCAGGGTTGTGAGATCAAGCCCCATGTTGGGCTCCCTGCTCAGTGGGGAGTCTGCTTGAGATTGTCTCTCTCCCTCTGCCCCTCCCCCTGCTTTCTCTCTCTCTCAAATAAATAAATAAAATCTTAAAAAAAAAAGACATTTGCTTTGGAAACATTTCTAAATCAGCAGAATCCTTTTTTTTTTTTTAAAGGACTTTGAAGATGGCTTACCATTGTCTTCCAGCTTCCATTACATAGGCATCATAGTGCTTCTTGAATCTGTGGCTTCAGGTCTTTTATTTTATTTTATTTTATTTTTTTTTTTTTAAGCTTTTTATTTATTTTTTTTTATTCATGAGAGAGAGAGAGAAAGGGGCAGAGGGAGAAGCAGGCTCCCAAGGAGCAGGGAGCCTGATGCGGGACTCGATCCCAGGACCCTGGGATCATGACCTGAGCCGAAGGCAGACGCTTAACCATCTGAGCCACCCAGGCGCCCAGGTCTTTTATTTGTTTTGGGATATTCATGGCTACTATCTTTTCACTTATGGCTTTTGGCCCATTCTTCTCTCCTGTGGGATTCTATTTACATGAAGCCAGTCCTTTTCACTGTCTCCCATTTCTCCCATGTGTATCATTTGATCTCTCTCTTCAGCAACTAAAACCTGTTTAAAAAGGAAAAAGCCATTAAAATTTGTTGTTAAACTCATCTGTTGAGTTCTTGATTTTAGGTATTATACTTTTCAGTTCTAGAATTTCCATTTGACTCTTTTTAGATTATAGTTCTTTTGTGAAATCTCTCACTTGTCTTATAACATCTTGAAAATGTTAATGGCAATTCTTTAACATCTTTATTTGATTAGTTTGAAACCTGAATTACCTGTAGTAGAGGTTAGCAAACTATGTTCTATGGGCCAAATCCAACCTAAAGCTTGTTTTCATATATGCCACAAGCAAAATATAGTTTCTACATTTTTAAAAGGTTATTTAGAAATAGAAGAATATGTAACAGAGACCGTATGTAGCCTTCAAAACCTAAAATAGTTACTGTCTGGTCCTTTGTAGAAAAAGTTTGCCAACCCCTGACTTTTATAGGTCTTGTTTCTATTGTCTGTTTTTTTCTCTTGGTCCTATTTCTTAATATGTCTGGAAATAATTTTTTAGTGTTATTCATTTATTATAGTTTACTAAATCCAATAGAGATTTTTTTTAAATTGGGGTGTAACATGCTTATGGTAAAGTCCACAAATCGTAAGTGTACAGTGTAGTGAACTTTTAGTTATGCATACACTCAGCTAATCATAACACGAATCAGAATATAAAACATTTACAGGGCGCCTGGGTGGCTCAGTTGGTTAAGCAACTGCCTTTGGCTCAGGTCATGATCCTGGAGTCCCGGGATCGAGTCCCACATCAGGCTCCCTGCTCAGCAGGGAGTCTGCTTCTCCCTCTGACCTGCCTCCCTCTCATGCTCTCTGTCTCTCATTAAAAAAAAGAAAAAAGGGCGCCTGGGTGGCTCAGTTGGTTAAGCAACTGCCTTTGGCTCAGGTCATGATCCTGGAGTCCCGGGATCGAGTCCCACATCGGGCTTCCTGCTCAGCAGGGAGTCTGCTTCTCCCTCTGACCCTCTTCCCTCTTGTGCTTTCTATCTCTCATTCTCTCTCTCTCTCAAATAAATAAATAAAATCTTTAAAAAAAAAAGACTCTCTCTTAAAAAAAAAACAAAAAACCATTTACAGCACCCCTGAGTACTCCCTTGGACTCCCTCAAAATATATACATCATGCCACAGAGAGCCACTCTTCTGACTTTTATCATCATAGATTCCTTTTGCTTACTCTTACATTTTATGTAAATGGAATTATACTGTATTTCCTGTTTCGTGTTCAACTTTTTTCACAATTGTATCTACGGGTTTCATCTGTATTGTTGCACAGAGCAGTGATTTACCTTTTATACTGCTGTGTAATATTTCATTATGTGATTATTACACGGTTTATCCCTTCTATAGTTGATGGACATCTTGGTCTTTATCTTTTATATTTTAGACCTATAATCCACCTGAATTGTTATATATCAAATTTCATGTTTTTCTACGGGGTATCCCGTTGCCCGAGGACCATTTGTGCTTAAGACTGGCCTTTCCCAACTGCATTTGGTGAGCTTTTATTATAAATCAGGTGGCCATTTATATTAGGGATCTCCATTCTGTTCTGTTGGTCTCTTGTCTGTTGTGTCATTACCACCTTATCACAGTGACTGAGACTTTTTCCTTAAGGTATTCTTACATAGAGTCTGGCAGAATAACTAGTCCTCTTTCTTCAAGGATTGGAGGTGCTTAGAATTCTAACACCAGATAAATCAAGTGTGCTGAGGAAAGGTTTCCTATTTTAGGCAAAGATTTATTGGATATTTGTTACTTCCCCCCTCGCCCCCATTGTTCTGTACAGTTCAGAGATTTTTGCTACTTTGGTGCTATAAATGCTCCTAACAGCTCTCATGGTTTTATTTTCCCCCGAAGCTAGCCTCCCCCTACCTTCCCACTCCTGCTGAAAAAAGATGTACTGTATAAAGTCTCTGATGATGAAAAAAAAATTCTTTAAAGTGAATTATTAATCTTGAGCTTCTAGCAGATAAAAAAATAATATTTAATTTTGACTTGCTTCTGGCTGTCAGTTTTTCCTTTATGTGTTTGAGCCTAGTGTTTCTTTCACTTTGTTGGGGGTTTTTCTTCTTTTTTTTAACCATGAGCCTCTATTATATGTAAAAGTTTTCTTAATTATAATATTGGAAAGGGTATTTTAATTAAAACAAAAGTTAAGGGTATTCCCTTATAGAGTAGAGATAAAGCTATAGAAAAAAAAAAGTGATATGTGGCTTACCAGTGCAGGTTAAAGATGATTGAGAGAAGAAATTTTCATTCCAGGTGATTCTTAAATGGTTAACTGCCCAAAATTACTTTTAGAGGTTTAAACATAAGCATAGAAATATTTTCCTATTCTGGCGGTGGGGGAGAAGTAAGTTGATGCTTGGGCTGAGGTAGGGGGATGTAGTGGTGGAGGGAGGTTGGGGGAACAAGACTGGCTCCAAGTTCAGAGAGGTCTCTGTTCTTTAAAGTCATGAGTCAAGACGTACCTGTATGGATACATCTTGGAGTTAATCACATGAAAGCCAGTTCCTTCATTTTTCCTTCTAAACATACAGTTGTGTAGGAGGAAAGCTATTTCTGGTAATCTTATAGTCATCATAACATATTTTATGACTAAAATAGATATTTTGCCCCAACATTCAGTTGAGGGAAAAAGTCAGGGAACATCTGCATAAAACAGAAATGACCTAGGTTTTCTGGGATGGTTATTCTAGAAAACAGTGATTTATTATTAGTAAGGTTATTTATTATTAGTAAGGTTTATATATATATATATATATATTTTTTTTTTTAAGAATTTATTTATTTATTTGACAGAGAGCACAAGGGGGGGGCGGGGCGGTGAAGGGCAGAGGGAGAGGGAGAAGCAGGCTCCCACTGAGCAGGGAGCCCAAAGTGGGACTCCATCCCAGGACCCTGGGATCATGACCTGAGCCGAAGGCAGACACTTAACCGACTGAGCCACCCAGGCACCCTCGTAAGTTCTTCGTGTAATTACCTCCTTGAACCATCCCAGTGCTAGGACTAGGTATTATTTTTACCTCTTCCTTTATGGATAAAAAAATCAAAGCTTGGCTAAGAGAGGTTAAAGAACTTGTCCAAGATTCTGGCCTTTAGGCCCCTGACCTTAGATTAGATCTCATGTATTAACTCAGTATGTTTCTGAGGTTCATGTTCAACATTTTTGTGTTTTCAGTTTTCTGTGTTTTTTTTTTCCAATTTTTTTGAACAGTAGTTGATGTTAATAGTAATTCTATTTTGTATTTTAATATTTAAATCTTTTAATTAGTAATAATTTGGCATTAGAACCAGAGCTAATGAAAGTATGAATGAGGCCAGCTTCACTGCAGATTCTGCTCTTCACCAAATGGCAGTCCATTTCTTTTATGTGGCAACAATGCTTGGGAGTGTTTTATTTATTACAAACATGGTGGCAGTCTCCTGTTGGAGGAATCCACATTTCCAGGGTCTGTGGTGACTTAGCGCTGTGCTGGGAAAACAGCCCCTACCTGTAAGAACATGAGTATTGGCAGAGTTTTCTAAAAAATAGCTTGATAAATAGCATTGTCTTAAATAATCTATTGGTAATTAAAAGAGAATTGGGGCACCTGGCTGGCTCAGTTGGTGGAGCATGCAACTCTTGACCTCTGGGTTGTGAGTTTGAGCCCTACACTGGGTGTAAAGATTACTTCAAAATAAAATCTTTAAAAAATAAAATAAATAAAATAAAATTAAGTCCAAGTGGATTTTTTATCATCACTTTTTTTTTTTAAAGATTTTATTTATTATTCATGAGAGACAGAGGTAGATAGAGAGAGAGAGAGAAGCAGAGGGAGAAGCAGGCTCCCAAGGAGCAGGGAGCCCGATGTGGGACTCGATCCCAGAACCCTGGGATCATGACCTGAGCCAAAGGCAGACGCTTAACCATCTGAGCCACCCAGGCGCCCCTATCATCACTTTTGATATAAAATCATCCAAGCACATCTTCCATGTTCCTTCTCCCTCAACCAACCCATTCTCAGTGAGCTCTCCCCCTTTGTCCCACAGAAGCTGCCTCATGAGCGTGGAGCCCGCCATCAGCACCAGGCACCTCCCTTACCAGAGCTTCCAGCTCTTTGGCTTCGACTTCATGGTGGACGAGGAGCTGAAGGTCTGGCTCATTGAGGTCAACGGCGCCCCAGCTTGTGCTCAGTAAGCCTGAACACCACTGTGTTTTAACAAATGGGAAGTTGGTTCCACAGTTGAAATAGCCTGTCTTGGCAAGGTGGTGAGCTCCCCATCTCCAGAGTGTTCAAGCGTAAGCCATTTAACTGCTGTTAGGGAGGGTGGCCTTTGGCAGGACCCTGGCCAGCAGGGGGCTCTGCTGCTAAGTCAGTCCTTCCCAATTCCCCCATGTGTGTTGACCAGTAGTCTGTGCTCAGGTGGGTGGTAGTTGCTATGAGAATTTCAAACGAAGCTAATAACTGTCAGAGGAGACCCTCTTATGTGACCAGTTCAGGGAATGGGGTCCTGTGAGTTGGAGGGGACACTGATAACCAAGAAATTGAGGGTCTCTCCAGGCAGTAAGTGTTCTGAGAAGGCATTGTAGACACAGTGGAGCTAGAATGGGGATGGAAGAGAAGAGTGTCACATGTACCATGGAGAGGAGGGGAGAGCCTTCAGAAGGGGGACAAAGCATCCAGTGGGACCCTGCCCTGTGCCAGGCTCTGTGGGACATGCACAGATGAGCAGAACATGCCCACAAAAGCCTCATGGAGGCCTTAGAAGTTAGGGGAAGTCCCCTGGACATGATCCTCGAATGCTGCTGGTTCTTTTAAAGATTCACTTTCATCAGGTCAAGACCCCTTCATGGTTCCCCACATCCGTGTCTTGGAGGAATTGAGGTGATCTTCCACAGGTTTCGGAAAAAGTCCTGGACCTACAAGGGGCAGCGTTAACACACAAGTAGCTCTTTCATTAGGAGCCAGGCCTTTACCCCTTGCTCAGTGACTGTGACATGGCAGGTGTGATTCGTCTCGTTCGGCAGTTCCTTCAGCTAACCAGTATTCATTAGCACCTCCAGTCCGCCAGGCCCCATAGTGGGGCCTGGGTCACAGTCATGAGCAGAGACACCGGCCCTTGTCCTTAGAGAAACTGTGGGCATGACAAAGGACCAGACAAATACAGATTACAAACGGGGACATGCTTTATCCTTGATAAAGGATGTTAAAGGTAGTATCATTGAGCAAAGGGCTGCTATTGAGCCGTGGCGTTTGGAACTGAGTCGGAAGGAGGGAGGAGAGGTGAGCAGGATGGCTCACATCTTCCCTTCACCAGACCCACAGCAGCGTGCCTGTTTTCCCCTGTCCTTCTAATAAAGGTTCAGTCCTCCCTTGTGCTCTATGCCCTGTCCACCCCTCTTCCTGTCCCGTGTCCCTTTGCCTTCCTCATTCACAGTGTCAGCCTCTCCCACCTTGCTCCCTCTTCGGGGTTCCCATCAGCATGTGCATATGCAGCAGATTTCCCCAGCTGGTGAGAAAGTGCCCTCCCCTGATGGCACATTCTGCTCCAGAGGCTCCTCCTCCCTGCACCTGTCACAGCCAAACTCTGGAAAGCAGTGTCTGCTCAGGCTGTCCCCTCTTCCTCTATCCTCACCCATGCTGTGGTCCATTCTGGGCTGGATGCCATCCCCTCCACCCCCTAGAAATTGTTCTTTGAAGGTCCCCAGCTAAGTCCACATTGCCAAGTGCAGTGGCCCCTTTCTGTGCAGACATCCCTGGACCTCTCAGCAGCATTTGAGGCAGCTGCTCACACCTTGCTGAGATGCTCTTCTGCTGGGGCTTCGGGCACACTCTCTACTGGGAAGGTTCGACTGAGGAGGTGTGGGCGAGATTGGCCTCTTGCTCCTCATCAGCGGACCCCAGTCAGTGCCTCAGTCTTGGGTGTTTGTCTTCTCTCTCCACGGTGCTTTCTCCGAATGTGATCTTACTCAATTTCAATTCAATTCAATTTTAAAACCATCATATTACATCACAGCCCAGAGTTCCAGACCAGTGTCTGCACCTGCCTGCCCACCGTCCTACAAGATGTTTGTGGATGTCTAAGAGGCACCCCCTGCCCCAGACTCTCCCAACTGCATGGATGTCTACCTCCCCTCCCCACAGAATCTAAGCTGGAATGCTGTTCAAGATCCAGCCTCCTTCTTTCCATTACCCTCAGGTTCTGTGCATTGGGACCTTGTCAGCTCAGCCTCCGGCCTTGGCAGCCTCTGCTGTCCGCCCCCACTGTCGCTCTCCCACAGGTTGTCCTCCATCACTGTGGAGGCTTTTGCAGAGAGCCTTCTAACGGGGACCTCCCCTTCTGCTCTTGCCCCAATAAAATCCACTCTCAGTGTGCACTACTCCTGCCATTGGCACAGCCCGTCTTCTCCCCCTCCCCCAACACACTCTTTCTCTCCTCCGCCCTCCTTCCTTCCCCCCTCCTTCTGTCTCTCTGGGTGTATCTCTCCTCTCCCTCCTCTTTTCTATCCTGTCATCCACTGTCTGACTTCACTCATTCCCCAGGTCCCAGCTTATTTGTCACCCTGGAGAGTCTCTCCTAGAGTTTCCTCAGCCACGCTGAAGGTGCTTTCCCTCTAAGTATCCCCACCACAGACAGGCACGATGGCTCTCACACTCGATTGAAATTGCCCGTCTTCCCTGCCGGTGAGAGCAGGACTCATTTGTCTATTCACCTGAGACCTTCCAGAAATATTTGTTAAGGGGATGCTTGATCTTCGTGCAGCATTTGTATGTACCATGGAAACCAATACTATGAATTTGGTCATGAGGTGGAACATCTAGGGCAGGTCCTGGTGAAAAAAACTTTGACTTTTCACGTGCACGTTGAGGAACATCTTCAGTGATACTCTTTAAAACACGTTGCAGGAAGCTTTATGCAGAACTATGCCAGGGCATCGTGGACATAGCCATATCCAGTGTCTTCCCGCCCCCGGACGCGGAGCCACAGCACGTGCAGCTGGCTGCGTTCATCAAGCTGTGACCGAGGGAGGTGCTCAGAGCTGCCTCAGAAGAAGCACGAGCTCCTGCTCCAGGGGAAGGTGAAATGTCAGGATTGCTCATTACCAAGCCGGGACTGGAGAAAGAGAGGCAAACCGCAAAGCCGTGATCCAAGGGAGAACACAAGAAGAAAAGGCCACTTCCCCAAAGAGTGGTGGCTCAGGGGTTCCCAGGGGGCGCTCTCAGCACTGCTATGGAGATGTGAAAACTGAAGCAAATTTCTCTGAGGAGAGAGCAAAATATTCTTCTAAGGGGAAAAGACAGGGATTTGATTATTTTACGTTCTCACCCTTTAAAAAATCCAATTTTTATCCTAAGGCACATTGTGAGCAGCGCCTCTCCTCCCTGAGGGTTGAGACTGTTGGACCTTTGGTTGGTGTCTTTCCACCTGCTGCAGCCTTAGTGCCTTAGCTCTATGCCCAGCTGCAACCCTCCGTCCGGGGCAGGGATTGGGGGATTGCCGAGGTGTTCCCTGCCCGTCCCTCTCCACAACACCCTGCCCTCGAAGGTCTGGACAAGCATGCACAAACAGTCCTTGGTTTTGTGCTGGGCGCCACCTCACAGCAAAGGGGGCTTGCCTCCTCATATTCCTGATGGCCTTTGGTCAATCACCTGTCAGGATTGGTGTGGGCTGGGCACCAAAACAGCAAATGCTGCTCTCGATCTGCTCTGTGCATGTTTTAGAAACCAAGCAGCAAGTTTGCCACAAACCCATAAGCATCAAATAAGCATGAGAGAGAAAAAAAAAAACAAAAAGCACGATGTCTTGCTTTACTTAATAGTTGGGTGTGGTGGGTCTTTGAAATATGATGATTCTCAGTTATCTTTGTTTTAACCAGAATTCTACATGCACTTTTGCGAAGTTCCCTTTTGTTCGCTTTTTTGTTGTTTTAACTTTTGGAAACCCCCTCTAGGGGGCAGGAGAAGTAGAATTACACACACACACACACCAGGTGGCACTGGAAAACCCCCTCTAGGGGGCAGGAGAAGTAGAATTACACACACACACACACACACCCACCAGGTGGCACTGCCCCAGACACAGGTTGCTCTCCCCCATTTTCTTGTCCTCGAAGCACCTTCTGCAGGAGCTGGAAGGTCAGGTTTTGTCCCAGGGAGGATTATCTGCCTGTTTGTGCCTCTTCACATCAGGGCGAGGGTCTAAATGAGTGTATGTCAGGCCTGAATGGGGGAGTCTCCTAAAATGGGAAGGGCGTGGTTTCAGAGCTCCACACAGCATCTTATAAGTCAACAAATGTGTGCTGTTAGGTGTAGTTTCCACTTACTGGATCAAATGTTCTGTAGATTTTTTAGGAGGCTACATCACTAGCAGTGGGAAGAGCAAGATGCTACTTGTGTTCATTGTGAGCTGAATGAACAGGTCCTTCTTAGAATGTACTGGGAACCACAGGAGGCCTCCTATCCAGTAGAGTGCTGTGTTCTTCCTTTGTGTATATGTGTGCTCCATTATTCTTTCTATGTGGCACCAGACAACAGTTCTGCAGTCAGGGAGACTTTTCTAAAAGGAGAAAAGAGTAATGCCTCCTGAAACATGAGATGTGGGAGCTTACAGTGAAGAAAGGAATAAGGAGTATTTCAAAAATGCAGCAGTGGGTGTAGGATGTGGTGGCATTATGTCGGGGTGAAGGAGAAAGGCCCAACTGGTTTGGCTTTTATGTGAATTTGGAATTACAAAATATTCTGGTTACCCAGAATACAGATAATAAACTTTGCATCCAGAGCAAAATAAAACAGCAGTGAAAGGCAATCGTGGAAGCCTAGCACTGTTGGGTTAGTGTTTGGGGACTTTGATCATAACAAGGTGGACACCCTTCTAGAAAGTGTAAGATACTGAGTCCTTGAGAAGTCTCTGTGGACTGGTGACGGGGAAAGCATGGAGGTTTTTGTCGTACTATTGCATGTGAACATAGATTTGTAATGATCTTTTGGACCTGAATTAAAGGGACATATGAGAGTTTTCCAGTTCTTACAGTGACAGAGCTAAGAATGTAGATGTTGCAAGTCCATGGATCTTGATGGATTTTCTAAGAAACATAAATCACTGGCATATATGTGAGGGAAGTAAGGGTTTAAAAGAAAGTTATGCTTCATTCCTCACATGGTTTCAAATATGTATCTGTTTTATGCATTTATTTTTGATCGGGTGGGATGGTTGGCTCAGAACTGTTCCATACCCTTCCATGATACCCTTGGCACAGATGGTCATGCCTCGCTCCTCAGTCTTTATACGTGCAGTATGTGTACGTGTTGCCAGTTGCTGGGGGAGGAGGTGTTCTTTATTTGGAGATGTTAATTCCAATTTTGCCGCTGTCATTTGGCCGCACAGTGTAAGATGATCCCGTTAACCTCTCTGTGCCTTGGTTTCTTATCTCATGGAGGAGATTGTTGCCTGACCCGGGGACTACCTCAAGGACTTTTAGTGAGGACAGGTGAGATTAGGAAGACTCAAGAACCTGTGGTACCAAGGTTCTCCGTGCTGACTATATGCTGGAATCACTTGAGAAGCTTTTTAAAAATGTTGGTTTCTATACCTTCTCTTTTTCTCCCACCTCTGACGAATGAAATCAGAAACCTGAGGCATCAGTCTGCTTTGAGATGCCTTGAACCACTGCTTGAGAAGGAAGGACAAACACATTGTTACCTTAGAATAATCAAATAAGACCTAGGACTCTTTTTAAAAGTTCCTTTTGGAAGGACAGCCATTTCTTTAAGAATGACCGTGTTGTTGGTCAACATGTTGACCTACGTATTCATGATACAAGCAACTGTTGTCTAAGCATGTTCTCTTTTTGCTTCTTGTCCCAGATTTGTAAACTCAAAACGTGCTCTCATTTCTTTAAATAGTTTGTGAAGTCTTGACAACAAATGTAAACAGACAGGAATTTATAAATCTGCTAAATATGTGTTAAGGGTATTCGTTACTGAGAGAAAAGCCCCTTCCCTCACTCTGAACTCCTGTGGAAATTATAAACTCGATTTTACCCAGAACATTGAAGTGCCTCAGTGTCTGTATGATTCAGTGCAGCAGGTACTGGCATGCTTACTTGCTGTTTCACTAGGGCCTCAGGATGATTTCACTAGGCTGACTTGCTGTTTCACTAGGGCCTCAGGATGATTATCCCAGACTAGGAGTATCTGGTAGTGTTGGAAATGTATGGGATCCACAGAATCTGCAAGCAGCAGCAAAGCTACAGAGTGTGTTTTCATTGACAGCCAAGCTTGTGTCTGGCAGGTATGGATCCAGTCCTGGTGTGGGTGTGGGTGTTGGGGGGGGGGGACTCTGCTGGAGAAGACAAGGGGCCAGAGTGGGTCCCCTGCAGCATGTGGGTGCTGTGGAGAAAATTCAGCGATACATTTGTCTCCGATCCTAGACACAGAATCTGTACCTAAGAGGAAATGAATTCTGAAATAAGGTGATTTTATGAATGTTTAAAATGCCCAGAGCATTAAAGTAATATTTCAAGCGTTTTTGTGCCCTTTGGTTCTATCATCTTATCATGGTGGTTGACTGTCCTAGGATATCACTGGTTATTTAAATCCATGATTCTGTTACTCAGGTAGGCAGACTTTTTCCGGAAAGGGTCAGATTAGTAAATATTCTAGGCTTTGCAAACCAAACAGGTTCTTTGTTGCATATTCTTCTTTTTAACCACCACTTAAAAACAAACAAACTTAGTTCATAGGCCATACAAACGCAAGCCAGATGTGGCCATTGTTTGCTGACATAGCATTTTATTCAATACATAAGCCAATAGATTGTCTTTTGAAACTGTAATGAGCTCCTCTAAGGTGAAGCATTGAAATAATTTCTGCTGCCAGAATCCAATCCATCTTTTACATGTCTTGTGTATTGTCTGAATCATGATACAGATGGTCCAGTGAGACCCATGGTTGTGAGAAAGGATTATGTGTGCTTCAAACATGGGGAGTAGGTAGAGGGGCTTCTGATATGATTCTGCATTCAGCCAGAAGGCCATGAAGTCCTAAGAGTTCACTAAGGCCACGTATATAAATACCTGTAAGTCTCACACACCTCAGGCATTTAGTGTCATTTATGTAAATTATAGTTAACTTGTAACTTCCTGTGTAGAGAGGCTGAATGCTTTGGACTTCTTTCCCATGTATGGCTGCTTTCACTCCATAAACATACTTCTGGCACAGAGATAAGGCCTTCCACAAATGGAAACCCTGGCTTAAGCACTCCAGACAGGTTTCTGATATGATATGACACACACCTACCAGACTCAGTGTAGCTTGCATGGGCAGGGTGCAGGGACAAGCAGACATGGACCCAAGCAGGAAACTACTTAGGATCCTGAGAGTGGACAGGTTCAAAGCCTTCAGAGGACTTCTCTTCGTGGCTGGTCCTGCTTGCTGTCAGTAGCTGCCCCTTCTCCTTAAAGAACCTGAAGTTTTCCCATAGCCCCAGAGGTTCAGTGATATTTTAAAGATGTCTCCCACAAAACATCCCTAAGGTCAAAGGAAAATGAGCCCCTGTCCCAGGGGCTGCAAGCAAAATTCCTTTTCAAAATTCACATGAGAGGACATCAGTAAGAACAACAGGGTAAAACCTCTGAAAATCCTCTCTCCATGAAAGCGTTGGGAACACTGGCAAAAACTTTCTAGAAATTAACCAGAGGCTTGCAACAATCCAGAAACATTTATTAAAGAAAAGTTGTACCATCTTGGTAAGAATAGCAAGTTTTGTGATGTTTTAATTCACCCTATTTTCATCCCCCTTTTCCTAGCTCCAGGATAGCCTTGGAAATGAAAAGCCCCACAATCGTAAAATCCAGGAGTCTAGCAACAATCGGAGGGTACAGAGTGGGGTTGGAGCTCCTCCAAAAAGCCCCATCCCCAGTGAATTGTCATTATTTGACCTGTGTGGCAGTTCCATGTAAGTCCTCATCTCAGGGCTTGTCTTTGACATTTCTCAAAGTGTGCCCACTGTGAACAACCTTTTCCCTAGGTGAGTTTGTTAAAAATAATCAGCAGCAATTGTTTAACACCTCAGCTTCTTGAGTTGGCTAAAAGAGTTGGAACAAACAACAAGCTGACCAAAAAACTTAGGAATAGATGGGGAATGAGGTATCCATTGGAAGTTTTGAAAAGTTTCTGAAGAACATAGAAGGCCACACACATGTATAGGGCTATGTGCAGGCCTGGGGAGACCTGAATTCCCTCAGCCTTTTTTTTTTTTTCCTTTTTAAGTAGCATGGAGCCCAGCACTTGAACTCACAACCCTGAGATCAAGACCTGAACTGAGAACAAGAGTCAGATACTTAACAGACTGAGCCACCCAGACCCCCTGAATTCCCTGTTTTTACCTCTATATGACCAGGAGAATCTATACAAGCCTCCCTGGCATGCGCGCACACACACAGCCCCTTGGCAAAGACTGGGAGACTTACTGGTGCAAGTGTTTAAGGAAATTAGTTCTAGATTGAACTAATGTTCAATCATT